ATATATATATATATATATATATATATATATATATATATATATATATATATATATATATATATATAAATAAATATATAAATAAATAAATATATATATATATATATATATATATATATATATATATATATATATATATATATATATATATATATGTGTATATTTTTTATATATATATATATATATATATATATATATATATATATATATATATATATATATATATATATATATATATATATATATATATATATATATATATATATATATATATGAATAGAACCGTATATGATTCCTATTGCAGTATATTATGAGGATATTATTCCAACAAAAAGCATTACAAAAATATTTAATTAAATATTTATTTAAATGCATAATATTTATAATTTTTCATTTTATTTAAAATTCCATTTATTTTAATTACTTTAATGTATAATAAATATTTAAATATTTGTTTTTAATTATACTATAACAGGGTTTCTACAGGTTTCATCAAGTCAAATTTAAGACGTTTTAAGACCATTATGAATGAAATTTCAGACTTTGGCTAAATACTGAGGATTTTTTTCTAATGTCCCAGTTAAACTAGGGATGTTCAGTTTCGATCACGTGATTGGAAATCAGGCCCGATCATGTTGCTTCAGACTGGTTCAGAATCACTTTGTTGCAGACACACCATTGGTTAAATGCCTTTGAAAACACTGGCACTTTTATTCATTTATTTATTTATTTTTACATGCCTGCCGGATATTTTAAGTTGAGGTGCTATTTGTTTTTATACTAGATTTACTGATGCAATAAAGTCCAAAAGTGAAGAATTGATGTTATTTATTACTTGATTCTTCAAGCTACCTCACAGAAGTGCTCTGCTTGTTAACAGAGTTGTTGAATGTTAAAATAAGGCCAATTAAATAAAAAATAAGGAACATCCTAGATCTGTTTCTTTGCTCTTTTTTATTTTTTTTTTATTGTGTATTATAAAAGTATCGGATTGGGTTTTGGTATCAGTAGATACTCAAAATCAAATGACTCAGACTCAAGGTTTAAACAATTTGATCGGGACATCATTAAAAACAAATGTTATTGTAAGGAAGATAATTAAACCATATGTATATAAATAGAAATATACATAGAGCAAATAAAGTTAATAAATACAAATTTCAAAACTTTTATTGAGATGGGGTGTTGGTGATTGGATGGGTGTTGGTCCAATTGGATAACTTTACATGGACGAAGGGAAATTAAGACCTGTTTAAAATGATTGAGACCTACAACACAATATTTCAGTGAATTTAAGACTTTTAAGTCCTTAATTTTTTTACATTTAAGACATTTTAGGACTTTTTAAGACCCTGCGGATACCCTGTATAAATAACATAAGCTAATAAATAATAAGCTCAGTATAGAGAGAATTAATTTATTTACAAACTGGAAATACTGCAGTAAAATACTGAAATAATAGATTTTGTTCTAAAATTAAAAGGATTTTAGAAATGAAATTAAAAGGATTATATAAAATGAAAATGTGCTTTAAATGTATTTATCATTCAGCTGAACAAACTGTCAGAATTGTAAGACATAAACACGGAATTGAAAAAATAAAATGGTAACACTTTACTCGAAAGGGTCATGAAACATTTATAATCATGACATGACACAATTTTATGCATGCTTTTAACAACCGTTGTTTAGTGTCATTTGCTCAGTTATGTCATTTTAAATACAAATGTGACATTCTTATGACAACTTGACATAAACAAATACATCACAACCTGTGTTTGTCTTTGTCACGACAACTTGACATATCTAAGATAACATAACTTGTCATAAATATGGCATAAACATGATTGTCATGAGGCATTATAATTGTGTCATTGGGAACAAACTTATCAGATAACAACACAGGCTAACAACTAGTATGTCATCAGTTTAACGGGTGTTCATTTTTGCTTTGCTTATATATGTTTTTAGACTCTGAATGTGCCAGTAGCTGTTGACTTGCATTGTATGACTTACCATGGTTTCAAGCTAAAAAAATCTTCTTTAAGTACTACAAAAGAAAAAAATGTCACCCATACATCTACACTACCTGACAAAAGTCTTGTCGCCTATCCAAGTTTTAGGAACAACAAGTAATAACTTGACTTCTAGCTGATCATTTGGTATTAGAAGTGACTTACATGCAAGGCAAAGGCCTCTAGAGTACGCTTAGTTTACCAAAATAAAATATGAACATGATTTTGAATGATTTAATTAGGACAGTAAGGTCTGACTTTGCTTAAATGTATTGTCACTTAACAGAAATAATGTACAGTATTAAATATAAAGTCATGATGCAGTAGAAAGTAGGAAGTAGGGCTGCAAATTAGCTTTATGCTATATGCCCTATGTACACAACATCGGTTATCTTTGTATAACAATGTCAAGTGTATTGTCCCTGTAAAATAAACAAGCAAATAAAATAAAATAAAAATAAAAAAGAATTAATATTGTGTATGACTCCCATGAGCTTGGAGGACTGCATCCATACATCTCTGCAATGACTCGACTTTAATTAATAAAGTCATCTGGAATGGCAAAGAAAGCGTTCTTGCAGGACTCCCAGAGTTTATCAAGATTCTTTGAATTCATCTTCAATGCCTCCTTCATCTTACCCCAGACATGCTCAATAGTGTTCATGTCTGGTCACTGGGCTGGCCAATACTGGAGCCTCTTGACCTTCTTTGCTTTTAGGAACTTTGATGTGGAGGCTGAAGTATGAGAAGGAGCGCTATCCAGCTGAAGAATTTGCCCTCTCCTGTGGTTTGTAATGTAATGGGCAGCACAAATGTCTTGATACCTCAGGCTGTTGATGTTGCCATCCACTGTGCAGATATCTCTCACATGCCCCCATACTGACTATAATCCCAAACCATGATTTTGCCTTCACCAAAGTTTACTGATTTCTGTGAGAATCTTGGGTCCATGAAGGTCCAGTATGTCTTCTGCGGTATTTGCGATGATTGGGATGCAGTTCAACAGATGAGTCAGCTGAAAAATCTACCTTCTGACACTATTCCAAATGATCAACGAGAAGTCAAGTTATTATTCTTTGCTTTAACAACTGGGATCGACGACAAGGCTTTTGACAGGTAGATTAAATTAACAGCAAATTTTATTATTAAATGAGGCATCTGAAAATCAAAGCGAAGCAGAATCAAAAACAAACGACCCTTTCAAAATGCAATAACACCCTGTTGTTTTGCGAATCAAATGTCTTTCAAGACAAGCATCACGCATTCCAAAGGTCAAGACATCGCTGACAGGCGATTCATCACTGCAGAAATATATGCAATCCGTCCCTTGCACACACCACAACCAGACTATTATAGTTATTCAAGAATTTGATGCAATTGTTGGCAAGCCAGCGTCTATAAAAAAAAAGTGTCAGCGCCCGTCTATTTGAGTATGTAAGCGCATGCAAATGTCTGAGCGGTGTGTGACCTTGTACCATCTGCTAGAGAACTGGCAGACTTATTAATGCTTAAGGACGAAATGAAGATGTAGACTTGTCGGTGCCCTAACTGGAGCTCATTAAACACTGTTTTTCGCACTCACCTCGTCGTTTGCACTCTCCATGAAAGAGCCCCCAAATAAGGCAGCCATCCAGTCACAGCTAGAGATCAGCAGTGGTTTGTGGGCGTTAATGGTGCCATCGTCTAACCTGAACACCACATCTGCAAAAAGAGAGTCCAAAATACACCATGAGGAGCTATTCTGTTTTATCTTGTACCACTGAAATTCATGGGCTATCACATCAACATGAAGTGTTGGAAATTAAACTACCACCAAAAGTAGTATCAGTATTTCTACAGCTTTAATGAAGTAAGCTACTTTATATTGGTAGTTTCTATCGTATGCTAGCTATTGACCTTATTCTAAAATGCGGAAGTGCGCCTGTTTTCGTGATTGTCTTAGAATTTCCGATTCAGTCGCCTATGGAAGAAATGACTAGGAATAATAAACGGCAGAAAACGGTCAAACTACTTGCTCTACAAACAAATGTTTGCATGACTATACAGACCAAGTAGAATAATATAATAAGAAAATATCAAATTGCAACATCAAGCAGCGTAATGAGCAGTTTTTAACGTCAAAAAATGAATGGAAGTGAATGAGACCGGAAGTCTCAAGCCAAAAAGATTCAAATGGCAGCGCCCGCTCGTCGGCGAAGAATAAGGTGAATACTGTGACTGTAATTACATTTACATTAATGTATTTGGCAGACATCTTTAGTCAAATCATTTTTGAATATCGTTGGATTTTGCCGTTTTGTTGATTGAAGTTGTGTGAACTACACACAAAAAAGATTGATTTTCCTCCATGTCTCATTTTACAACTCTCCTAGGGTTAAACGTTTGAGTTTTACCGTTTTTAATCCATTCAGTTAACTCTGGCGGGATCACTTTTAGCTTAGCTTAGCATAGATCATTGAATCAGGGCCTACTCACACTATGCCATCTGTACCATGCCCAGGCCCGTTTCCCGGATCGTTTGAGAAGTGTGCGTGCGCTGAATCGGGCTCAAGCTTGGTTCACTTGGCCGGCCCTGGCCCACTTGGAAGAGGTGTGCCTGAGTGCGGTTAACTTAGGCTTTGTGTGTGTGCAAAACGCGCCAAAGCCCGAAACTGAAAGCGAGACGTGACTTTTAAGGGACTGTTTCATATGGATTTATTAATCAATCTTACTGTTCAGTGAACGCAAACTGCCGTAGTTTATTAAAGACGCAAACCCCTTACTGCACGACAGCTGCAAACCTTCAGAAAACCTCCTAACTCCTGCAGCACGAGGACTTATTGTTTATGAGCGTCAAAAGTGGCTGATCTGTTCGGCGAAACATCTGACTGCGTGTCACCGCATCCCAAAGGACTAAAGCGATATAACTAGAGAAACGTCCACTGTGCTAAGCGAGAGCGCTTACTGAACAGCGCAGCATTGATGATGTAAGCGTGCCCGGTTTTACAAACCAAATTTTTTTTTTTCTCATATTTACGGTAAACTACCGTATTTTATTATTTTGGTACTTCTTACTGTACCAAATTCTACCACTCAATGAGACCTACATGCATGTAATTATGTACAGTTTCAAAGAAATGTTTTTAAATCAAAAACTAGCATGACCACATTTCAGATGTTGTGGCAGATGTAATAATAATGTTGAATTACACTTGAATATGTGAGTTCCTCCATACCTGTGAAATTATTCTTGGCGAGACACTCTTTGATTCGGTTGGCTTTTCTCACGTGGAACGCTTTTGTGATCTCTTGATTCATGAAGCCTTCATTGTTCATGATGTTCTCCACCATCATCCGGAGATCAAACACTTCTAGGATCTCTGCAATCTGGGCGATCTTCATCAGGTCCTTCTCCTTCTCGTCCAGCTCGCCAGTGTAGAGGAAGCGTAAGACCGCACTGAATGGCCCATGGTGAATGGAATGATCCATCTTTACGATTGTCATGAGAGCCGGCGTACCTGTGACCGGGTTGATCACATTCTCCTTGTGGATGCTGTAGAAAGCCTTGCTCCAAGATGCCAGAGAAAGCCTTGTGCGTCGGTGCATCCCACTGAAACTCATCATTTTGAGGGTACCATCACTCTTGGATGCTCGAAGAGAGCAAGGAGAAAGGTTTGGGAGAACCATGACATCCTCTTCCGTGTCCAGGCTTAGTGTGCGCATTAGCTGATCCCGGCCGTGACGCTCTGTTACCACCAAGCACTGGGATTCATCCGAAAAGTCCATTTGAAAGAGGTCGAAGAATTTGGAGGATGAGGTAGACAGGTAGATTCTGTGGGCATACAAGTGGACGTGCTCCTGAACGATAAACATAACATCAGCACATAGAGGGGTCTCAAGAAGCTGCTTCGGGCCATCCCGGTTTTTGGCTGGACACTCTGGGATCTTTATGAGCGGCGGAGGAGCTTTGGGTGGCAAAAACGGTGCCTGCAGAAGAGGCTTTTGGACTCGCCTCAGATGAGACTTCCAGAACTGTAGGTGGCGTCTGGAGATGAGAGCTGCTCGGATGGCGTTATCAAAGATATCCTTGATACCGAATTGATCGAAAACGCTGGTCTCGTAGTATGGGATGCCAAGCTCTTTGGCTACCTCCCTTCCACTCTCTGGAGGCAAAATGTCTCCAGGTTTAATGGGCCTGTGAGAGACAAGTAAATGCATTCAGGTCACCAACCCTGTTTCTGGAGAGCTAACTTAATGCTAATTTCAGTCACAACTCTGGTCAAACACGCCTGTCAGTAATTATCAAGCGCTGCTTCAGGTCCAAATTAATGGATTTAGGTGTGTTTAATCAGGATTGGAGCTGAACTCTGCAGGAAGGTAGCTCTCAAGGAACAGGGTTGGTGACCCCTGATCTAGTGAGCTTTTATGGAAAGCTTATATATGCACATTTAGCAAGGTGATTGAAGCATTATAGATGTTTGGAAACCTTTAGACAAGGCTTAAAAAAGTCATATAAACCAAACATGTTAATAAACATGCTATAAAGCCATTTTCAAACAAAAATAATGTGGACAGAGTTTGACAGAAAAGCCACTTTTCTACTATCAGACTGAACAGTTCCCTTTGATTAACCATTCAATTCCATGCTGATCCAGGCCAGTCAGTATGGAGACAGTTTCAGGTAGATCTCGTGAGACACATCAGATCTCACAAGATCTTGTGGCACAAGATCTATCGAGATCTGATGTGTCGTACAAGATCTGACTGTTCTCTTGAGAATGTCATGGTTAATGCAAAGGCAGTTTGAATTGTGGTTCGGTGTCAGAGCCTAGTTCCAAAAAAGTGGTTAATAAGTAGCACCAAAACATTGCTGGGCTAGAAGTAAAAACTACTTGAGTCAGGGGCTGAGGGCAGGATTACCTTTGCAAAGAGATGAACAGAAACTATTATGAACATGTTGGTCTCCTTTTGTATTCTCCTTCTATACAAATTGCAGCACATATTATTATGGTTTGCAATCCGTCTATATGAACGCTGCATGATAATGTTGGATTCGCTATGTTTGGATGCTGATGTAGGTATGTAAAGTTATTAACATTAAAAGCAATGCATTGTTGATCCCACATTTGTATTTAGCACTTCTGTGTTTGTGTTGCTGGGAAAGTTCTGTATGCATTGTCAGGCTTGCCAGACATGCTGGTGGAAAAATGGCGTTCTGAGTTTGAGTCCCGGCTCGCTGATTTTTCCAATGTCATATGTCCTCTCTTTCCAACTTTTCTTCCTCTCTTCAAACGGTTATATCACAATAAAGGCAAAAACGGCAAAAATTAAATAAAAAAAAAAAAAAAGAACATGACCATAACTTTGGCTGTTCTGTGTAGTACACTACCATCTTTTATGCTTGAAGAAAGTTATTTTTTTTTTGAGTTTCAAGCGAGCACTACTTTCTTTGTAATTAATTATTGCAGACATTGATTGTACTTAAAACAATATTTGCGTTATTATATAATCTTATTTATACTACTTATAATGCACATTTTGCAGTGTTTATATGTTTTTACTAGAAATTATTTATTTAAAAATGCATAAAAAAATTCAGTTGAATAAAAGATTTCAGGGAATTTAATTAAATGAATTTATATATATATATATATATATATATATATATATATATATATATTAGTGGTGGGCCGTTATCAGCGTCAACGCGAGACACTTCGCCGTTTATCTATTCCCAAAGTTGTGTTGAGAGCTGAGCCTATTCTACGCAAGCTATGATGACTTTCACTTTGATGTTTTAGCATGGATGTATACCAGACCGGTAAGCTGTCTGACAAAAAAAAAGTGCCCTTCTGAATCAAATCAACAGGATGGCCTTCTGGATCTTTCACTTACTTCGCAGACACTACTGACTACACTTAAATGAACATCTGTAATCTGGTTATTTGCCTTAATAGACAGTAATATAATTAAGGTGTTTACGTGAAGTGCTTTCATGTAAGAGTTTCCTATATTTTGGGTGACGTTAACTGCAGTTCGGCAGTTCCACTTTAACTCATGAACTTCTCATTCTTGCCCCCGTGACATATTAGACGCATTAGACATATTATTTGGTATTAGACACAAATAAGGAGTAAGGACTGGTGAGAGTGTTATGGAATTTAATAATGCACGCCGAATGGAAAGAAAAAAACTTCCGCATTTCGCGATGTGTTTTTATGTGCACGGTCCTTTAACGACAGCCGCGTGTTTGGATCTTGTCGGAAAATATGGCAAAACGTCCTACATGACAGTAATAGTTTTATTGCGGTGTTTACTTCAGTAATGCCCCTAATATTTGCATACTCCACATGTATTAATTCCATTTCTGTATAGTTCAGTTATGACTTTAGTCGGATTAAGGTGATCAAAAATCGCAGTTTCGAGCTTATGTAGGCCTACAGTTCAAAATTCATGTTTAACTGAATAAACAGTGAGTAAACACAAGAACATCTTATTGAACATCATTTATTTTCATCATCAATTATCATAGTAGAACAGTTTCTCAAGCAGTTTGTGATGCATTTTGGAAACAGGAGATGAGCCCCTGGTCTAATGTGCCACCTAGCTTCAGGAACTCGTCCTCAAAGACTTACTTTGTTATTATTTGGGTAGCACACATATACTGAATGCCTTCGGCAGAATTTATATGAGCCATTTTAATCTAGATTAATTCCAAGATTACAGTGAAATTAATCTAGATTAAAAAAAGATCTATGCCCATTTATAATATATATATACTATCATTGAGGGAGTCTAAAAAGCTCATCTTGTTCTCATGAACCCAGTCTCATGTCTCATCTCATCTAGTGGGATATGATTCTGCCACCCACTCATCACCTCCTTAACTCCTGACTGTTCATACCATTCAGCATGATAGTGGAAAGGTGGCTAATGTTGAAAAGGTTCTCACTTAGTTACTAGTACCTTGATAATGGTCGCCTAGCACGATTGACTGCCTCCAGGTCAGCGTAGCGCAAGTCCAGCTGGCAGCCAACCAAGATGACAGGTGTGCGTGGACAGAAGTGCTTAATCTCGAGGTACCACATGGTTTTAACATGGTGTAAGGAGTTGGGATTGGCGATGGAAAAGCAGAGGACCACGACATCAGACCTTCAAAAGTGAAAGGTAAGAAACAAAATCAAGCAATTGTCTTATGGAAACGTCATCTGTTGAACAACACAGGGCAAGACACCACGTAACACGCATGCTAATAGAAGTTTAAGCCAGAAGTGTCATGTGACAGGTGCCAAGCGGTATTCGTAGCAACACCACAGTCCTTTAGTGTTCGGTGGACATGCAAAACCTGCAATCTCAATGCCAGCCCCGACATTGACCTGTTGACAGCACGCAAAAAGATTGCCTTTAGTTTAACATGTGCCTGATGCCAGAGACCACAAACTCCTTTGGCAATTTTTTTTTTTGGAGGACCAGAACAAACATGATCAACAAAAAAAACAGACGAAACAAAAAAGCACAAAGAGGATGACATGCAGACATTCTGGCGCACTGCCGGCATAGCTTCCTGTAGCAAGATCAATACAAACTCTATCCTAGGGAAGAGGGGGCAACAATCGTCACCACACAAAGACGTGAATAACGTACGATCACCCATTTGCCATCGTCCACAAAAGGAATCGTGCATTTCATAACGCTGACTGGGCAAGCGAAGGTCTCGGCTACCACACCACACATTTGGCAATGCAGAGAATAATGGAGATGCTAGCAGACTTGAAGACTTACAGCGTCTCTTTTATGATTCACAGGCTTGCATAAAGATCATAGGAGGCCTACAAACAAAAAGAGGCACAGAACAATTCTACATAATAGTAAGCCTTTGTAGTCAACACCACTTTAGAATAACAAAAGTACAACATTACGCCACAGTCTTTAAAGACAATGTAAGTCCAAACCTCAAGGGGTGTCTGATATCAAGCTGCCTTTGAGACGTGAGGTTAAGGGTATCTGAATTCTTTGATGTGTCACTGCTTGCTCCCAATAATTGCTAGGTTAAAGCTTATCCTGTCCCCAATAATGGTTTGCTGAAAGCCCAACATCTTGGGTCAAAATGGGGTTCTTGGCAGAGCACTCTAGAGACAAGCCTGTTTGATGTTAAGCCAGAATCAATGCACTTTAATAAAACTTGTAGCAGTTATTTGGCCTCCAGAATCTCCTGAAGAGTCAGTGTGGATGCAATTAGACTCAACAATAACTCCTCTAACCGGAAGGAATAAGAGCAAATCAGCAGCAATTATTCTTATTAACCTTGCATCAATCCGTGGAGCATATCTCTCAACGTCTTTAATTAGCTATAACACAAAACATGATCAGGGGTAGATCTGTAAATTGCAAAACAGTCACGCTAGCTATTTTCCATGCTCCTATTTTTATGCGCATTTTGAAATATTGCATAAAAAAATGTTCATGGAAATTTCAAGACGCACATCAATTTTGAAAACACGCTCACAACTGAGGAGGATACATTTTATATTTATTCGAAAAGAAACAACGTGCATAAACTACGATGGAAACACATTTATTGAATAAATTGCAGAATGCTCATGAAAAAAAGTCAAGTGATAACAAAAATGGGTGCAATGGGGTGATATTACTGGACAAACCAGTGCACCGACCGCATTGTAAAACATCTGAAATGTTGTTTTGGTCATTCTAAAATCTCTTCGCCAAAGTTTGTCATGAAAGTGGTTCAATATTGTTATCTGAGAGAACTGAATTTCTTGCAGAGAACTGTATCCGTCTCGCACCTCCAAAAGCCATGTGCATTCAGCGTGTTTCAAGTTCGAAGGTTCATGTAATTTATTATACATGGTAAAAGGCCCACAGTAGCTTTTTCTACAACAGCAAATTCGATTTTTTCTTTTTGATATTTGCTGCCATTTTATTGGGAAGTGATGATTTTGTTCTTTTGGCTAATTGAATGGAAACCAATTTATTTACAATTTTTTTTATGTGATATTCTAGTTTTGCATACACGTTTTACTCACATCTTTAGATGGAATTTGTGATAAAGGTTGTCTTTTCCCTTCCATGGAAAATATCAGTTAATCACCCAGATATGTGGCTTCTCTTTTGGAGAATTGGTTATTGTGCTTCAACGCTGAATGAACCAGACACTCTTAAAATGATAAGCGTGTATGTACTATATGCTAATTGAATCATATACTGTATAAGATAGCTGCTTGTTAATTATGACGTCACACAAAGAGGCTTCCGGGTCCAAGTGCTCTATCAAACTGTATAGTGAGACTCAACAAATGGTACTAAAAATGTTAATAATAAACATTAACAAAGTGATATAATACTTTCGAAAATCATGATCACATTATATATATATATATATATATATATATATATATATATATATATATATATATATATATATATATATA